TGTGGATGAAGTTGCGGGGATATCCATTTAAGACGAGGATCTTGTATAAGTATTCTTCTTCATCCTGGAGTGTTGCAGTGTGTCCTGGCCTGTTTAAATAGTGTCCTAATGCAGCTTTGTTTGTGGACATTGGGGTGGTTGCTGTGGAAGTTGTGGATTTGATCCGTAGGAGTTACTTTTCTGTATACTGAAGTTTAGAACTCCCTGTTTGTCAGTCATTCTACCTTAACATCCAGAAATGGAAGTTGAGTGTTGGTTTCTTCTTCCCTTGTTTTTTTTTTAATTCATTCATGGGATGAGGGCGTCGCTGACTAGGGCAGTTAAGAGTCAACCACATTGTTGTGGGTCTGGGGTCACATGTAGGCCAGATCAGGTAAGGATGGCAGTTTCCTTCCCTAAAGGACTTTAGTGAACCAGATGGGTTTTTCCGACAAGCGACAATGGATTTACAGTTGTCATTAGATTCTTAATTCCAGATATTTTATTGAATTCAATTTCCACTATCTGCCATGGCAGGATTCGAACCTGGGTCCCCAGAATATTATCTGGGTCTCTGGGTTAACAGTCTAGTGATAATACCACTAGGCCATTGCCTCCCTGTTAAATGTGAATTTAATCCCTGTGAATACACTGTTGATGAGGTAGTGGGTCTCTTTTAATTTGTTGCATTTAATAATGAAAAATGTGTCATCTCCATTCCAGATCCACAGTTTAGGTTGAATGTGGGGGAGGGTGGTGTGTTCTAGTCATTGCATGACTGCTTCTGTGATGAGTCCTGAGATGGGTGACCCCATTGGTGTGCCGTTGATCTGTTTGTATATTTGACCATTAAAGACGAAGTGTGTGGTGAGGCAGAGGTCCGGTAATTTAAGTATGTTGTCCTTGCTGATGGTGTTGCTGGTCTGTGTTGCTGTTTCCTCTAGTAATGTGGCCATTGTTTCTTTGGCTAGTGGGATGTCTATTGATGTGAATAAAGCTGTGATGTCAAAGGATACCATAATCTCGTTGTTGCTGATTTTTATGTTCTTGAAGGTATCGAGGAAATCTTGGGTCGAGTGGATAGAATTAGGTGATCCGTCTACTAGGTGTTTCAATCTCTGTTGTAGGTCCTTGGCCAGTTCGTGTGAAGGTGTGCCTGGTAGGGATACAATGGGTCAGAGAGGGATGTATGGTTTATGTTCTTTAGGCAGTCCATAGAAGTGGGGTCGGGGTGGATGGTGTTTGTGCCTTCTGGTTTCATTCTCTTGAAGTCTATCTTGGTTATCTGCTCTGCATTCATTAGTCACTTCAGTGTCTAGGTGATCCTATTACCAAGCTGCAGTTTGGGTCTATCGCCACCTGTTGGTAAGTGGTTGTATCTGCAAGCAACGTCTGTGCTTTCTTAACGTAGTCTAGTTTATTCGTAATGACGTTCATGCGCCCTTTGTCCACTGGTAGGATTATGATGTTCTTGTCTTTCCTGAGTTTGTCTAGTGCTTTTCTCTCTGCTGTGTTCAGGTTGTCCCCTTTGTTCCTTCTGTGTAGTGTGGGGATTATAGTTTGTCGGATGGCTTGTTGTGTTTCATCCGTGAGTTTGTTGTCTTTTGATATATTCTCCAGAGCGGCCATGAAGTCTGTTCTGTTCTCATCTTTGTGGCTATAGTTCAGTCTGCATAATAGGACATCTTTCTCAGTTTCTGTGAGTTGCCTGTTAGGTAGGTTTCTCATCCATGTGTCTGGCTTGTTGTTGTCCTTGTCTTTGTGGTGGATCAGTTTGGTGAGATTCTCCTGTAGTTCATGTCTCTTCTTAGTGTTGGTTTTGTGTTGATTGATGGTGATGGCCTGTTCTAGGGTTGTAGTCCACTGCTGGTCTGTTGAGTTTAGATACTGTGATTTTTGGCACGCAGTTTCTTGTTCGTACCTGTGGAGTCAGTTATGGGCATCATTAATCATTGCTCATAGCATTCTGCGTCCGTTCTGTTCAGCTATTTTGTGTGCCTGTGGGATGTTGAGTGAAGGTTTGTACTTCACACTGCCGGGCAGTACCTGGTTCCTGAGGCATTCATGGAGGAAGTGAAGTTGTTCGCAGGTAGTGCTCAGTCAGTTGGCGAAGGTTTCCTATTGTCTGGCAATTTTTACCATGTTTCCTCTGGGTGCTGTGGCTTCCTCCCACAGTCCAAAGATGTGCAGGCTAGGATTGGGCATGCTAAATTGCCTGTAGTGTTCAGGGATGTGTAGATTAAGTAGATTATAGGGGGATGGGTCTGGGAGGGTTGCTCTGATGGTCAGTGTGGACTTGTTGGGGTGAAAGGCCTGTTCCCACGCTGTAGGGATTCTATGACATTATGTAGTGTCTTACGGGAGTAAACAGGGAGAAGAAGTTTGGAAACCAAAAGCTTTATGTATATGCTCAAGTTTATGTTCTACTGGGGAAATGAAATCTTCTGGAAGTCAAGGGATGAAGGTTTCACCACAATGTGAGGTAAATTTGTTACAGCAGGAGCATGATATCCATTGCTAGTAAAAGTATATGCATGGTATGAATAAAAGTATTTATAATTCCAAATGAAATGATATAACGCTCACTTGACAGGCCTAATTATTTTCAAGTGATGCCTCTTCACTTTTTTGATCTAATAGTATTACCTTATGTAATTCCACCCACCATCACTTTTAATCTATGTTTTAAATGCATTCCCACCCCACCCATTAAAATCAATTAGAGAAACTGTACTTATTGTTTCTATCATATCAGCACACTGACAATTTTGTGGTTAAATTCTGGCGTGGGTTCTTTGCCTGTCCTGTGTTGCTACCAATGTCCTTCATCTAGAACTGGAGTCTTCTAGGTCATATATCAAAATGAGAATGAATGGCCATTTGAATAACTCTACCCATGAGTTCTTCTCCAAATATAGCAAGAGTAGTTTAGAATTAAATAAGAGAGCTGGAGCCTGTTCCAATATCAGTTGTTATTCGTGAAGTGCTACAGTTTGGAAACTACAACTGAAACAAACTTCAAGAGAGATTGCAGTGATCCAATAACAAGTTTTTAAAAAAATAATTGATTTTAGTCTTTGCTTTAAACCTTGATTGCGCTGGATGGTTTTGATGAAAAGTCACAGATGTGAAAACTTGGGCTGATTTTCACAGCCCCTTTGAGATGAGGGATAGTGGCAGGGGGCCAAGAAAATTGGAGGAGCTGTGTAGGGATGGTCCCCCAATATACGATTCCCTGTCACCAAGGAAATTTCTTGGGTGGGCTGAGTGTCAGATTGACATTCTGCTCGACAAGGACAGTCAGACTATAGGACAATTAAATTCCTAATTGTCGGACACTTTTATGATCTATTTTCCTGCCAGGGACTAACCCCTTACATCCCCCTCATCACCTCCCACTGAGTGCAGCAGAAGCAGACTCCCAGCAGTAGACAAAGTGACGGTCAAAACCAATAGTGATCCCACTGGGATGAAAGGCTAAAATCGTGCCAGTACTTCCTCTTGTGCTGGAGTTTGCTCTACACATGGAGTCCTGCTGGACTTTTTTATTTGAAGATTTTTCTGTGGACATCTGAGGCTCCCTCCCTGTTGAGGCACCATGCAATTTCCTTTCTGCCTCAGCAATTTATTTCCCAGTCAGGCTGCCTGCCTCACACCATTGTAGGCGGCACGGTGGCAAAGTGGTTAGCACTGCTGCCTCACAGTACTAGGGACACGGGTTCGATTCTACCCCTGGGCGACTGTCTGTGTGGAGTTTGCACATTCTCCCTGTGTCTGCATGGATTTCCTCCGGGTGCTCCAGTTTCCTCCCACAGTCCAAAGATGTGCAGGCTAGGTGGATTGGCCATGCTAAATTGCCCGTAGTGTTCAGGGATGTGTAGCTTAGGTGGGTTATGGAGTGATGGGTCTGGGTGGGATGCTCCAAGGGTCATTGTGGACTTGTTGGGCCGAAGGACCTGTTCCAACGCTGTAGGGATTCTATTCTATGATTAGGCCTTCATGTTGAGTCACAAACGTTATCCATCTCCTTTTCTTAATAAAGCAGTGAGTGCAGAGATGGCCAATTAGGAAGCTGCCTCTTAGAAAGTTATACCAATGAGTATGTTAAATTTTGCAGTTGAGTGTGGGTTTCTAATATGGGACCAATTCCTAGCAGAAATTTCAGCCTATTAACTCTGTTTTGCTCTCTACAGATGCTGTCTAATCTGCTGAGTATATACAGCATTTCCTAATGTTATTTTCTTGATTGAGTTGGACTTATCTTTTATAGCATAAGAGCCTTAGAAACTGTTGGACGCTTTCACATTTTTTTTGCACATTGATAGAAAACAAAAGGGCTCATACCCAGGATTCCCAATAAGCACTCCCTTGTAAAATTTTTAGTAAAGGAAGACAAGGAGGACTGCAGGATGTTTGTGGGAGCATGCAACAGACAAGGACCCCTATTGTCACAAAATATTTAAAGGCCTCACATCTATTAGGGATAACTGTGCTTTATGACTTTGAATCTTTCAAAATAAAGTCTCTGTGTCCTTGTGTTAATGTTATAATGTTATTTATTAAGCCTATCAGTTCCAGTTGTTAAATCAAAGCAGCAATGTTGCTCTGTGAAGAACCACAGTTGGGATCGTCATCTTAGATAACTCTGCATGTGGCTATGAAAGTGATAACTTGTATTTAACCATTTTAATGCCACAGGTTCATTTTGAACAGCCATGGCAGATTGGTGCAGCATCAACCAGGAAGTACTCCACAGACACACATTCACCAAGTCACTGACACATCTTTTCAGAAGTTTAGGGAATTCATCAAGTTCAATATGACAGCAAGGCAGTGACTTGATAGGTCCATCCAGTTTAGTACATTGCTAGTGCAACATACGGCATCCACGCATCATTGTGCGCCATTTTTGCAAACCTTTTAAAATTTCTTAACAGTAGGTTACTGAATTTCCAGATTGTATGTGACAAGATGCAAAGATACTTTTTGTGTCAAACATAGATTTTCATGTTGCATTCATTCACAGGTGTTCTTCCTTCCTGGAATTTTTAAGAAAAGTAGTCAAGTGAGTGGACAGCTTGTGAGCGACAAGGTTTGTCTCTAACTAATATAGACAATGACCTCTCTCAAAGTTACAAGAGCATCAAAGGAACATTGCATTGCATTGCATGTCCCCTACTCGAGTGATCATCAAGTGCATCATCAGGATCTTAAAATCAAACTTTCACTGAGCAGTACGAGGTCTTGTGGATGAGGAAGTAGTACCTGCACCTGAGCCAGAAGTTCCATGGCCAAGTTCTACTCCATAGCTTAAGTGAAAGCAAAATACTGCAGCACCTGGTAATCTGAAACAAAAAAAGAAAATGCTTGAGGAACTGAGCAGCTCTGGCAGCATCTGTGGAGAGAGAACAGAGTTAATATTTTGAGTCTGATTTGATTATTCAGAACTGAAGAACACTTGTATCCGACACAAAACATGAACTCTGATTTTCTGTCCACTCATGCTGTTAGACCTGCTGAGTTTCTTCAGTCCTTTTTTTTATCCCACTCCAGAACTTGTTGGTCATAGAGGAGTGTTTGTGACCATGCACAGATTCATAGTGAGCCTACTAATTCTTCCAACGTTTAGCCAGTATTCCCAAAATGGGGGAAAAGAAGTGTGTGATGATATGGATAAGCAAACTGGCCTATACAGATCAGAAAGGGCTTTAGAATATGTGTCTCTCTCTGTGGCTGTCATCACAGTGCAGGAAACATTGATGTAATTAAGTGAAGGCTAGCAATTAATTATTCACTCCTAATGAGATCGGGTGACAGATAACGCCAGGTAAGGTGGAGGAGGCGCTTTTTAAAACTTTGATCTCAGTATTCGCTGTTGGAGGAAATGTTGCGTATTAAATTTGTTGGAAGCCAGGATCAGGGGCAGGTGCAACTTCTGCTCCAACACCAAGCAAGAAATCTAGAGCTATGACTACCTAATGTTTAATGAAATTATACAGAACTAGTCAGTTTACATAGCAGGTGGAATGGCCCTGTAAGTTAAGGGAGGTTGTTGCTTTTATTTGCCAATAGAAGAGTGGTAAGGTTGAGGTAGGCTACAAGACTCCTTGCAGTATGTGGTAAAAGTTGATGACTACTTTCTTCACAAAGTGAGGCCTCTGCTCTTTGCTTAAATGCGAGTCAGAGGACAGGCTGTTGAGGCATCACCAGGGAAATGTAACTTGAAAAGTCTGGTTTCCTGTTGTTGCCATTCTTCATGTTGCAAGAAGGAAACCAAATAATACGTGTGTATGAGAAATCAATTTGTATTGGAACAATAAAGATTAGTTCTCAGCAAGCAGCACAAATACAGAAACCAAAGGAAGTAACATGAGTAGAAGAATAAAAATAAACAAAATTATCAAGTTTTAACAGTAACTGAATAAAATTCAAAGGCAGAAACTATGGATGCTGGAAATCTAAACAAAAAACAGAAAATGAGTGTGAATACTCATCAGGTTAGAAAATGAAACAATTGTTTTCACAGATCTGTGTTCATCAGAATATGGTTCTTCCTTTAACTTTAGTGGCTGGTAACTCTGAGTGATAGTTTAATTCTGATGAAATTAGGGCTTCATTTCTGGTCTCATTTTCATGATCAGATTTGGAATGCAAATACATCATATGTAGAGACTTGCCCAAAAACAGATGACTTCTCTCACCATCCAGTGGTCTTTTAAGTGGCAGGGATTGAATGCAATGGAACACCACCATTTTCATTCCTCCTGCACTCAATTATTACTCCAAACTTTGGAAGAACATCACAGAAATTCAAATTAAAATATTATGATATACATTAAACTTTAAGATTGACTACTTACTAAAGGCACAGATCAATATTGAAACTGTCCATAAATCCTACAGACAACTTGACAAGATCAACTTTATACTTTTTGATTAAGGTACTCCAGATTTTAAATTAAGTGAAGACAATGAAGTCTTGTTTCATCGAACGGCTTCTCTTGTTAAGTTGATGGGCTGTCTGCCAAAGACATTCATTTATAACAAGCTTTGTTTCGTGAGTTGGTGTCTCATCCAAATAGCTGCGACAGAAGTTGTCATTTCTGTGGCATTTCACAGCAATGTTTTTGAATATTTCTGAAGAAATGTTTAGGGTTTTTTTTCTAAGCAAGAGGTCAGACAATTTGTTGTATAACAATCTAATTAGTCAGTATTGTATGTAATTTGATACTGGGTTGAAAATAACCTCTCACTCTAGTCCAAGCTGAGGAAGAAACAAATGCAAATATCAGAAAATGGAATGATAATTGCAGACATACCTGAAATCCATTGTTACCATTGTACCTTTTTGATTATATAATGCAATTTGTCTATAGACAAAAATAAGATATTGGAGCAAGTAATGATGCTTGATTGACACTAACACTGTTAGAACATTAATTCATAATATTACCACTGAATATGAGGTAGCCTGTGCTTCATCAGAACTTTATTTTAAGAACAGTTGATCTGCATCATACACAAAGAATCAAATGAAATATATTTACTTTCTGGATAAAGAAAGCCGTTTTTCAAAAAAGCAGTTTTATGTTTTGTGACTTTCTGTTTTGGGTCAGTAGCTTAGAAACTACTATTCTTGCGAAGAGAATGCTTAATATGTTCCTATGATATTTCACTATCCATTATTTTAATTAGGTTACTGCAGCTATATTACACATGGAGAATTGTTAGACAAATGCCGTTATATAAAAATGTGCAATGTTGAGTCCTCTGTTTAACCTGAACTTCAACCAGGTCTCTAAATTCAAGGTTGGTTACTGAACAACAAGGGATATTATTCCTGGCATAGTTAAGAATCTAGGGACAAAGAGAGCCAAGCTGCCTCAGATTTTCACTCAATCATCTTCAAGCTTCCACTACCCGATCTATTCAGGAAGAACCCTGCAATATACTACTGAGTAGTAACTGGATTTGTGATAATCTGCTGATTGCTTCTCAACTATAACAATTGTGAGGAATGAGATTCAATATCACTTATAAACCCAGGCAGTGAAGAAGCAGTAGGAAGGACAGGATAAGGAAGAGTGGCAACCAAAATTGCCATTTTTTGGTTCTACAAGAACATTTGATTGAGAAGTGTGTCAACCAACATCAACACCATATCCCCTTCACCATCAGTCCTGCATTCCTCTAACTTCTCTTTCAATAACCACATTTTCTACCACACTCTCCCAACATTAAAATGTAAGTACAAATCAAGATTTACTTAGTCAATATAGAAATTTTGCAGGTAAAATTCAACAATTCACCTTAGTACATATTGTGTATGTTTCTCCATCCTAATGATCTTACACCATGTTTTCCCAGGGAACAGAGCTGATTAACTTGAAGACATGTCAAATCGCTTTGGAAGATATCCTGAAAGGTCTCTGGTATGGGAAGACTAGTCTTCAGAATGCTCAAACTCAGCCTGGGTTTGCTAACTGACAAGCACTGACAGAGGTCGGAAGCAGGTGTGTTGTCATCTTGAGAGATGGCGGTTGGTTTTTTATTCATAGAGTCAATGCTACTCTGAGAGCTGGGGTTAGAGAATGGAAGGATAGAGTGCTGTGCTGAGTCCCTTTCAACAGTAATTCCAGAGCTATGCAGCAGATACTTGAGCTTCATTGTACCATTCTGTACTGTAATGGAAGCAGTTAAGTTGGTCATGAAATGCTGATTCATGGTGGTTTCTCTTTGCTCAATGTGTTAATCTATTTCATTTTGGAAGGGATAGGCCCTAAGCTCTCCGGAACGTTCTGTTCCAAATTCAAGGTGGAGTCTTCCAAACTCTGACATCATGCACTAATTCTTTATTGGGTTGGCAATTCACTAAACATTTCTTTATATTTTCCCATTAGATTTTGGCCTTATGTGACCTATCAAAGTCAGTTTTGCATTGCTCTGTAGGAAAAGGACAGTGGGGGTGGGGAGTGTTCAGATGGAGTTAATGAAAGTACAGGCCCAACATAGAATCCCTACAGTATGGAACCAGGCCATTTGGCCCATCGAGTCCACACTGACCCTTTGGGGAACATCTCACTCAGACCCATCCCTCTACCCCTGTTACCCTGCATTTTCCATAGCTACTCACCTACATTGCACATCCCTAGATAGTATAGGCAATTTAGCATCTTTGGACTGTGGGAGGAAACCCACGCAAACATGAGGAGAACATGCAAACTCCACACAGTCACCAGAAGCTGGAATCAAACCCTGATACTTCGAGGTTGCAGTGTTAACCACTGAGCCACTGTAGGGTGAAATATAGGAGCAGCAAGCCCAGGAAACAATGGATGTCCAGGAATATTCTGGACTGGATAAGAAGGAAAAGAAAGATTTTTAACAGGTATAATGGGAGCAAATCAATGGAGGACCTAGTAGATTATAGAAATTGCCAAGGGGAGCTTAAGAAAGCAATTAAACCAAAGAAGGAGCATGAGAAAACACTGGCAGGGAGATTAGGGAGTATCACAAGATATTTTATAAGTATATCAAGCAGATGATGATAACTAAGGAAAGAGTAGGGCATATTAGGGACCAAGGAGGCAATATGTGGCATGTGACTGGAGAACGTTGGTAGAGTGTTAAATGAGTACTTTGCATCTGTCGTCACTTTGGAGAAGGAGGATGTTGATACAAATTGAGGAAGAGGGACTATGTGGTTCTTGAGCTGTTTGACATAAGGAGTGAGGAGATATTGGAAGTTTTGGTGGGCCTAAGAGTGAATAAATTCCCAGGTTTGGGGGAATTTAACCCTGATAAGTAAGAAGCAATGCTTTCGAAGAAGAAACAAAGCAGTGGAGTACTCAATGAATGGCAGGACACGAGGAAACCTGGAGCAACAGAGGGATATTGGGCTATTTTTTCCCAGATCCCTAAAGGTGGCAGGACAGGTCAATCAGCTCATTAAGAAGGTATATGGGATATTTGCCTTTATTAGTCATGGCCAGAAGGACAGAAAGGTAATTTTGAAGTTGTACAAAACTTTGGTTATGCCACAGCTGGTATATGGTATGAAGTTCTGGTGACGACATTATAGGAAGGATGTGATTACACTGGAGGGGCTGCAAAGGAGTTTAACCAGGATAATGCCTTGATAGGACATTTCAGCTATGAAGAGAGGCTGGATAAGCTTGGATTATTTTCTTTAGAGTGGAGAAGGCTGGAAGGGTACCTGATAGAGATGCATTAGATTGGAGCATGGACAGGGTGGTTAGAAGGCAAATGTTCCCATAGCTGAAGGGTGAATAACAAGGAGACATAATTTTAAGGTGAATAGCAGGAGGCTTAGAGGGGATTTGAGATGAAAGAAAATCACCCAGAGTGTAGTAGGAATGTGGGATGCAATGCCTGGAGGGTAGTTGAGGTGGGAAAACTTCATGTCATTTAATGAACACTTGAAATGTTATAACATTCAAAAATACAGGCGAAGTGCTGGAAAGTAGGACTAGTGTAGATTTAGAGATAACAAGGTGTAGAGCTGGATGAACACAGCAGGCTAAGCAGCATCAGAGGAGCAGGAAAGCTGATGTTTCGGGTCTAGACCCTTCCTCAGAATTCAGATTCTCAGATTCTCCAGCATCTGCAGTTCCTACTATCTCTGTAGATTTAGAGTTTTTATTGGTGCTGACTCAATAAACCAAAGGACCTTGACTGTACTGCATGATTCTTTGCATAATGACATTTTACTGATGCTGGGTAAAACTAAGTTCAGCTCAGGATTTCTCAAACTGTGGAAATGTGTTCACCAGCGTACTGTAACAGGAAATTTTTGCATGGTTTGGATGGTTGCTTAAAAGCATCAAAGTAATTCATTAAAATATTGATTCCAAGGATCCGTTAGTTATAAAAATCCCTTATAACTATCTTCCATTCTTGTTTGCCTATGTTCATACTCCAACTCCAATAGGGTACTTCCTTAGAGACAATAGCCTTCCTGAACTGTTAATAAGAGTGTTTTACATTGCTGAGGTGGAGTACCATAAGAAACTCTAGCCTTTGAGAACTTCACAATATAGCTGACTCAGTCTGACTTAGCTGACTGTCTGTCTGGCACAACATAGATAGGTCTTCAATGGTAGATATGCTGCCATCATAAAAGGCAACAATGCCTTCCACTCCCATTTTTTCAAATCTGTTACAAGATATGCTTCTCCACACTTTGCATATGAAAAAATGAGGAATAATATGATGCTCTTGAAGCTTCTGACCAGATTGCACAGAATTAATCATGTGGGCTATGGAAAGATATCTGGGAAATTAGTGAACAAGTCTAGCGAGGCCTATCTTGACATCAGGAGCAACTAGCTGCATTTTCCATTTGAGTTTTAGGTGTCGAGGTGTCGAGCTGTGATTTTTGCTAAGCAGCATTGAGATGCCTAATAAGAGTTATTATTGGTTGTTATTGTTCTCATTAACTGCAAATCTTGCCTCATTAAAATACAGCTTCCTATCATACCACCTGCTGCCAGGAAACTCAACTAAGAATTCCCAACATGAAGTCAAAGTGTGTACTTGGCTCCTCAACCTCACTGCTTGCTCCTCCAGACTGCTGCCTTGGATACCCAGCACTAACTAAGGGCACGCTCCAGGGTAGCGACGGCATGCACCCCACGTCCAAGGACACTGGCATCAAACATATGTCAACCTCTCTATGTCCTCATGGCACATCTCTGATCCACTTAGAGCCATAGAGATATACAGCATGGAAACAAACCCTTTGGTCCAAATTGTCTATGCGGACCAGATATCCGAAATTAATCTAATCTCATTTGCCAGCATTTGGCCCATACACCTCTAAACCTTTCCTGTTCATATACCCTCCAGATACCTTTTAAATATTGTTATTGTACCAGCCTCCACCATTTCCTCTGGCAGTTCATTCCATACATGCACCACCCTCTGCATGAAAAAGTTGCCCCTTAGGTCCCTTAAAACTATGCCCTCGAGTTTTGGACTTTCCCACCCTGGGGAAAGACCTTGGCTATTCACCCTATCCATGCCCCTCATGATTTTATAAACCTCTGTACAGTCACCCCTCTGTCTCTGACACTAAAGGGAAAATAGCCCCAGCCTATTCAGCTTCTCCCTATAGCACAAACCCTCCAACCCTGGCAAAATCCTTGTAAATCTTTTCTGAACCCTTTCAAGTTTCACAACATCTTTCCTATAAGAGGGAGACCAGAAATGCATGCAGTATTCCAAAGGTGGCCTAACCAATGTTCTGTACTGCTGCAAAATGACCTCCTAACTCCTATACTCAATGCATTGACCAATAAAGGCAAGTGTACCAAGTGCTTTCATCACTATCCTATCTACCGTGCGACACCACTTTCAAGGAACTATGATCTTGCACTGCAAGGCCTCTTTGGTCAGCAACACTTCCCAGGACCTTACCATTAAGTATGTAAATCCTGCCCTTCCGCACCATAATGCTGCAGCATGGAATACACTGCAATTATTGTTGCAGTGGTATTTCAAGGGCAATTTGTGCACATTGATAGGTACTCAGCTTACCAACTGGACCAGACTACATGTTGGGGTACCTCAACTGCCCTCTTAGTGCTTACTCACTTTCCACCTAGCTGGATGTCCGTAGTATTTCTGTCTTACATTGCATAACCTTTTGGCACTTTGCCTGCTCAGCCAGAGTTTAAAAGCTGACAGTACTTTGTTATTGCCTTGCTGTTTAGCATTGACACAAAGCCAGGCAGCTTGTCATGGTTGTTAGCAGACAGCAGTCTAGGGTGTGGACATTTTGCTGAATGGTACATTGCTCCATCAATCTCACATCTGCATCATGTGCCAGAAGTGAATGCAGCAAACACACAGTGCCTTAAATAGTCAGCTGTGTCTTAAAGTTTACAGGGAGGTACCCATTGATTAGGGAATCCTGACAAAGTAAATCCAGGGCAGCCTCTGACATCAGTCCATGGCCTTTGATAAGATGTCTGTTCAGTACATGCATTTTCAAGGATATACCTGTATAGTCCAGGAAATGAATCACTGTCAGCCCTTGGGTCAAATGCAGCTAGTCCAAAGGAGTTGTGTGAACACAGTTGGGGAGGTACATGGTACCAGTAAGAGGTCTGGTCAGTCATTGGCGCTATCCAGCTAACTTGCTCAAGGGCTTGTGCCATGATCAGTCTGGATTTTATCCACTAAACATTCAGTGCTGAAGGGGGTTGTTGGGGACTGATGCTGTGGGGGAGAGAGGTGAGAGGACTCATTGGTGGAGAATTGAAGCAGAATGCTGGAATGCAGAGAAGATTACAGCATTGAGGCAGAGCAACTTAAGGGTTGGGAGATGATGGAAAATGAGTGGAAAAGTGGTCACGTGGCAGTGGGAGTCATTGACAGTGAGCAGCACCCCGGCTTTCAAGAAGTAAACAATGAACTACAAGACCTGACAATGTTTATCTCATACACCCAGGGCTTCAGAGGGTTGGGGAAGTTGTTAGATGCAGACTCAAATAGATGAGTTGGCTGGGGACTTGAGGAGATGCACACCCATAGGATTAGTGGGGAATACTCTGGGAAGGAGTGGCTGATGTTTTGGGGTTCACCTACACAGCAAGGCAGTGCTTCATGGTCTGAGGAACAAGTGTTATTATCCTCCATTGCCGTGTAAATCACAAGTGTACAATGGAAATTAACATGGTTGTGAGCAAATCTGGATTTAGCAGGATTTGTCTGCCTTCGGTAAAAGAGGAATGTGAAAGTTAAAGCTATTTGGGCCCTTCAAAGAGCAATACCAGTGGACAAGCATCCATAGAGTGAAGGTGAAATACACTGTGAGCTCAGCACTCTGTGTGACCCTTAGGCACTAGCTGACTGTGTACAGCCTAACATTTGCCCCAAGCTGTCCTGACCATTTATTGCAGGATAAAGGCTGAACATCACTGATGCCTGTGATGCAAAAGCAATATCTATGCCCTGGGAAGATGGAACCAAGTTGCCAAAATCGCATGAAGCTACAATTTCACTATTGCCTGCTCATGGTGTAGCAGCTGATGACTTCGCATCTTGGTCAATGGAACATTATCAAGGAGAATGATCAGGGCTGCATTTTTGGCTACATAGAGATATGCCTGTGCCACCAATGTGCCCTTAAAATGAGGTCATTCTTTTCCTTCCACAATATCTCAGTGTAGTCCCTGTTTCCATAGCTGGAGGTAGACTTAGTCTGCTTTAAAGTGGAGCCCATTGGCTTTGAGACTTTGGTTGAGTGACATTTTATGCCCAGAGGACTCAGACATGTTCAATGTATCTTTGTCAGAGCACCCACCTTGGCTGGGACTCCCACAGGACTGAAGATGGCAGAGTGGACAGAGGTGGAAGTTTTGGTCATCTCAAAGTGTTTTGGGAGAAGATTGCTGGAGTTCTGTAAGTGGTTCCGCTTTCAGCTGGGTGCCAATGGCATTACTAGTACTGCCCTATCTCCTTGTGGGACAGGGATACTTGGAGTGAGGTCAAGGTCCCTCATCCCGCTGTAATCTTCCAAATGACGCTGAAGGCCAGTGGCTAGGGTGATAAAGTGTAGGTCTTTCTGCATATCCAGCATACACTGGAAGTACTAGATCTAGCTCCCCAAGCATCCACCAACCTGTCCTTGAAGTCTGCCAGACTATTGCATGCCTGAGACAACAGCATTCCCTTTGCATTGCTGCAGTACTGTCCCACTACAAACCAGCTGGCTGTTCTTGTGTTTGCTTGTGCATTTGTATGAAATCCTAGATCGTTGAAGCCGTGGGGTCCTCTCCAGCCTGGGACTGAGCAGGTGCTTGTTATTTCACAGTTTGCTGAATGACAGTGATCTGGATGTTTCTTCCTCAAACAGCTGCAGAGATGTGGCAGTGAAATGCTCACCAGAATGTATTTTGCACTGTAGTCCAGATAGATACCCATTGGGGTGTTAGTATCTGAGCTGGTTGGGAGGTTTGGAGCAGGAGGCAGCCTTGCTATTGCTTCCTTTAAGGTATCCTTGCTCTTTCTCAGAGATGGAGATGGGAATGTCTTGCATGGAAGAGCAACAGTGTTATGACTGATGGTAATCACTTGTGGCAGGTGAAAAATACATCAAGATTTGGGTTAATGTGCCAATGGTTCTTATTTCATTGCAGATTATTTGAGCCAAGTTCCTCTTCATTGTGACTGATGGACTGAATGGTAGCACTCAGCCACCATCCTTGCTCTTTCAGTCTAATTGTGGACAGGCTTCTAAAGGAATGAGAGAGAAGGATTTAGTAATGCCATTGGATGGTTAGTACCCGTGTAAGTAGGGAAAAGTAAGTGAGGTGTCCTGAATGTGTGAGTAGACAGCGTAGTTCAGTAGTCTGGGGTGTTGAACAATGGAGACTGAACTGAAGTAATTGGGGTAACCTCAAACTGGACTGGCAGGTCTGGTGGTGTCGTGTCCAATGGTGGTTGTGGGGGAAGGGCATGCCCTTCATTTGCACGATGCTGAGATCCCTGTCTGCAGAGCTGGGCACCAACTTTCCTTTGTCAACCATCATGTCCACCAAACTGTGTGCAGCCATAAAAGGCAGCTCTTGAATGCCACCACATGTCCAGCTGCACAATAAACTTTTGCGTATGGCATCAGCAAGTGGATGACAATTTGTCCTAAGATGCATGGCCAGTGGCATGTTGTTCTGACAATGGCAAGTGGGTGAATTAGGCTAGCGTTGAATGAGTGAGACAGCATATGGGCACAGTAGGATATTAATGAGATGCATTTGGGACAATTTGTCAAGAAAATTCATTAGGTCTTTTGGAGAGAAACCCTAGATGAAACTTGATGACATTGCCACTTAGCTAAAATATCATAATGCTCCATCCAATATTTCGAAGCCTTTTGTAAATATTCCATTCAAGTTGGAGTTGAAGTCTTCCGTGCATTACTGTAGATACACAAGCAGACACTCAAATAAACTAACAAGTCAGCCAAGCACACCCATCATTCTTACTTTAAGTTCAGTAGCACAAAGTGAGTATTTGTGTCCTCTGCAAAAATGCTAGGATAACAGGAAGACCACTTTAAAGTGTCACTTCCAAGGCCATCCTATTCTCCTTTCCTACATGTGCTTTGTAATTCTCATAGTATAGACCCTCTATGCTGGGTGCAGGTTTCTTAGCTGGTGCTTGCAAAGGAGAAAGATTCATAAAAGTATTGTTCAGTCAGGTTATCACTTCCCTCCTTTACAGCAGCTGGCCCATCTCTGATGATTTACCTGGAAAGGGAAGAGATTGGCAGTCTTTAGACAACGTGGAACCTGTCCTTCAACATGACCAGCATTGGTGAAATGACATCTGTATTACTGTATATAGTATTGATGGCCTTATCTAAGGAAGGATGTAAAGGTGTTAGAACCATTTATGGAAGATTGATTGGACAAATTCCTGGAATGGACTAAAGGTATAATGCGGGAAAGTTGGTCAAGCTGAGTTTGTATCTATTGCTGATAAGATGAGTAAACTTTGTAGATTGGAGGCAGATGTTTGAGAGCAAATCAACATATGGTATGTGAGAGGCTTTCAAGTGTAAGTTGCTCGGATCTCAGGACAGGCACGTTTCTTTAAGGATGAAGGATAAGTATGGCAAGTTTAGGGAACCTTGGATAACGAGTGTTATTGTGAGCCTAATCAAAAGGAAAAAAGAAGCATTTGTCAAGCCTAGGAGTCTGGGAATGCACGAAGCAAGGGTGGAATACAAGGAAAGTCGAAAGAAACTTAAGCAAGGAGTCAGGAGGGCTAAAAGGAGTCATGAAAAGTCATTGGCCAACAGGATTAAGGAAAATCCGAAGGCTTTTTATACATATATAAAGAGCAAGAGGGTAGCCAGGCAGAGGGTTGGCCCAATCAAGGACAGGGAAGGGAAGTTATGTGTGGAGCCAGAGAAAATGGGCGAGGTAAATGCATACTTTGCATCAGTATTCACCATAGAGAAGGACTTGGTGGATGATGAGTCTGGGGAAGTGTGTGTAGATAGTTTGGGTCATGTTGAGATCAAAAGGGAGGAGGTATTGGGTGTCTTGTAAAACATGAAGGTAGACAAGTCCCCAGGGCCTGATGGGATACCCCAGAATACTGAGAGAGGCAAGGGAGGAAATTGCTGGGGCCTTGAGTGAAGTCCTTGTACCCTCACTGGCTACAGGGGAGGTCCCAGAGAACTGGAGAATAGCTAATGTTGTTCCTTTGTTTAAGAAGGTTGGCAAGGATAATCCAGCTAACTACAGGCCGGTGGGCCTTACGTCAGTGGTAGGGAAATTGTTGGAGAAGATTCTTCGAGACAGGATTTACTCCCACCTGGAAATCAATGGGCGTATTAACGAGAGGCAACATGGTTTTGTGAAGGGGGGATCATGTCTCACTAACTTGGTTGAGTTTTTGAGGAAGTGACAAAGATGATCGATGAGGGTAGGGCAACAGATGTTGTCTACATGGACTTCAGTAAGGCCTTTGACAAGGTCCCTCATGGCAGGCTGATACAGAAGGTAAAGTTTCACGAGGTGAGAGGTGAGCTTGCAAGGTGGATAAAAAACTGGCTTGGTCATAGAAGACAGAGGGTATCAGTGGAAGAGTGCGTATGACTACTGGCGTTCCTCAAGGATCAGTGTTGGGACCTTTGCTGTTTGTAATATAAATAAGCGATTTGGAGGAGAATGTAACTGGCCTGATTAGTAAATTTGTTGATGACACAAAGGTTGGTGGAATTGCGGATAGCAATGAGGACTGTCAAAGGATACAGCAGGATATAGATCAGTTGGTGACTTGGGCAGAGAGATGGCAGATGGAGTTTAATCTGGAAAAATGTGAGGTAATGCATTTTGGAAGGTCTAATCCAGATGGAAAATATACAGTAAATGGCAGAACCCTTAAGAGTACTGATAGGGAGAGGGATCTGGATGTACAGGTACACAGGCCATTGAAAGTGACAACGCAGGTGGAAAAGGTAGTCAACAAGGCATATGGCATGCTTGCCTTCATCAGCCGGGGCATGAGTTTAAAAATTGGCAGGTAATGTTGAAGCTTTATAGAATCTTAGCTAGGCTGCATTTGGAATATTGTGTTCAATTCTGGTCGCCATACTACCAGAAGGATGTGGTGGCTTTGGAGAGGGTACAAAAAAGATTTACCAGGATGTTGTCTGGTATGGAGGACATTAGCTATGAGGAGAGGATGGAGAAACTTGGGTTGTTCTCACTGGAGCGACAGAGGTTGAGGGGGGACCTGATAGAGGTCTACAAGGGCATGGACAGAGTGGACAGTCAGAAGCTTTCTCCCAGGGTGGAAGAGTTAGTTACCAGGGGCCATGGGTTTAAGTTGCGAGAGGCAAGGTTTAAAGGTGATGTACAAGGCAAATTTTTTACGCAGAGTTTGGTGGGTGCCTGGAACTCGCTGCCAGCAGAGGTAGTGGCAGCAGATACTATAGTGACTTTTAAAGGGCCTCTTGACAAACATATGAATAGGATGGCAATAGAGGGATACGGCTCCCGGAAGGGTAGGGGGTTTTGGTTGTGATGGGCAGAATGTAGGTGCAGGCTTGGAGGGCCAAAGGGCCTATTCTTGTACTGTAATTTTCTTTGTTCTTTGTAAAAGATGACTTGATTGAAACATACAAATCCTGAAGTTTCTTGACAGGGTGGATGTGGAGAGGATGTTTCCTCTTGTGGTAGAATCCAGAACGAGAGATCACTGCTTGAAAATAAATGGCCATCTATTTCAGTCATGGAAGATATTTGTTTTTCTCAGTGTTGTGAATCTTTTGAACTTCTTCCTTAAAAACAAAGTCTCTAATTTATTTTAGAAGCAGTGTTGATAGATTCTTGATAAGCAAGGTAGGGGTGATGGCCTAGTGGTATTATTACTAGTGGTCACTGGACTGTTAATCCAGTGACCCAGATAATGCTCTGGGGACCCGGGTTTGAATCTTGTCATGGCAGATAATGGAATTTGAGTTCAATAAATATCTGGAATTAAGAATCTAATGATGACTGTGAATCCATTGTTGATTGTTGGGGGAAGAACCCATCTGGTTCACTATTGTCCTTTAGGGAAGGAAACTGCCATCCTTACCTGATCTGGCCTACATATGACTCCAGGCCTGCAGCAAAGTGGCAATTAAGGATGGGCAATAAATGCTGCCTAGCTATCGGTATCCTCATCCCTTAAATGAATAAAGGAAATAAAAAGTAAAAGATTATGAGGGCTAGGCAATAATGTGGAGCAATCAGATCAGCCATTATCTTAATAAATGGCTAAGTAGATTGAAGGGGCCATTGCTACATTCATATATTGCACATACAATCGATATGAAGTCAGAGCAGTAGCCCTTGATATTTTCTAAAATATGACTTTCTGGATGTAGTAAGAAATCTGTGATTTATGTATTATCTGTTGTATTACTTATCTAGATCTGTGGCTTCCTTAGAAGATCTATCATCATTAATGTGGCTATGCCTATTACTTTCTTGTAGCAATTTCTTTCAGCAGTTTTATTTACAGAATAAGAACAAGCCTATATGTGAATGTTTGTTTATTTTTGTGTGAACTAGAACAACAATTTATTGTTCGGATGTCATTTGCAGTCTATTCTTCAAAAGGTTCACTTTCTTGACTTCGCAAAGGCATCTACATTGGGGCAGACAGATAACAAAAGTGATAGGAACAGCTGGTGGAAAATATAAACATTCTGTGAAGCTCACTTCCACTTGTCATTGTTGACAGTTTGTTTTCTGCAAAGAAATCCATTGATTGAGCACTGTAACCCTTTTCATCAGGCAACCAAGAAAACTCATTTTTCCATAGAATTCCTACAGTGTGGAAACAGGCTATTTGGCCCAACAAGTCCATACCAACCCTCAGAGCATCCCATCCAGACCCATCCCCTTATAACCCACCTAATCTACACATCCCTGAACACTATGGGCAACTTAGCATGGCCAATCATGCCTGCACATCTTTGGACAGTGGGAGGAAACCAGAGCACCCAGAGGAAACCCATGCAGACACAGGGAGAATGTGCAAACTCCACATAGACAATTGCCCAAGGATGGAATCAAACCTAGGTCCCTGGTACTGTGAGGCAGCAGTGCTAACCACTGTGCCACAGTGCTGCCCCACTTTTTGCTGCAGGATTCAGAACAATTACAAATCATGTAGACTATTAGACCTGATTAGCTGGATCTGAAGCAAGTCAGAGCCCATTTTCTTCAGTGAGAAGGAGCCAGCTGTCAACCCTCTAGAAGATTGTAGCAGAAGAAGTACACGAGAGTAGCTAACATTGAGCCAGAACTCCACGTATATGTCATCAGAACAAACACCATAACCACCATGAGGAAACTAGATACAGAACTAATATTGAGTACATAATGACAGTTAAACAACATCTATGTAGGATTTTATAAAACAAATTAACATTTTAAAATGTGGATTTACTTTTAGTTATTGATTTTTGATTACTATTAAGTGCAACTGAAGTCTATTTTGTGATTTTTTTAGCATTATTATTTATAGCAGTATAATTTTCCCATCAGTAAAGCTGCCAATTGGCATTATTCCATTATGCTTTCTAATCCCAGATGGTGCTTTCATTCAGAGACAGTGTTGCCTGGGTGACACCAAATGGCGTCACTTAAAAATATGCACATTTAAAAATAACTAATAGAAATGTACCAATCTGTAGCAATCAATGGAAAACAATGCATTTGCATATATTTTGCAAAAATCATAGCATTTATTAGGTTTATTTGTTTAAAAAATAACTTGCTTTGAAATTTCCTCGTTCTTAAATGATAGGTTTCAAATGTAGCTGATGAGCTAGTTTATTTACGGTGAGTCCAATTGGAAAGGGAAAGCTTTAAAGGAAAGATATTTACATTAAGAATAGTCTCTTTATTCAGATGATGCTTTAAAAACTATGCAGAGATGTGCATCAGAGTGGAGTTTCTTGTGTCTAGAACTCACTTTACCTCTACAATCATAAGAGGAAGGGAAATACTTTGGTCAATTAAGATTTATGTTTTGATTGCTTGAGTGAAAACATTTATTCTATTATCAATGTAAGAATGTAGACAGTTTCATAATGTTATTCTTTATTAATCTAACATAATTTAACCAGGGTGGTAAAATTAGATTACTTTTCAATACTGTACTCTATTTTCAGAACAATGAAATTAAATGCTCCAAAATCTATGATCAAATTGAGTTTGAAAGTAATGGAAAGAAGGTGCCTGTAAGGGGCAAGGTGAGATGTGGGTGGTTCCATAAAGAAATGCATATGTAATAAAAGTAATTTAAGTTTTTGTATAGTACAGCAGAATCAGATATTTGTCAGATCAGTATCGGCTCACAATTTTTACTTGAATCACCAGTGAAGAAAATCTTCAAGTTGGGGCAAAATCTTTGAGAGATTAATTGACAGTTCACTGAAAATGTGTGAGAGTTATTTATATTTTTAGCAAGTCTGATTAAAATAACAATATTCTCAATTGATATCTTCTGTTCTAATTGTAGGACAAAGAGGAAGCAAGTGAATTTGGAATGTTTAAAACTTTTGAACAAAATAAACATAATTCATTTAATGACTGTGTTTCTCTTGGTTATTTGATGTCTAAATCAGGGGATTAATTTGATAGGGAGACAATGCCTAGTGGTATTATGATTGGACTGCTAATCCAGAGATCCAGGTAATGTTCTGGGGACATAGGTTCTAATCGCAACACGACAGGTTAAGAGTATAAATGATGACTGTGAATCCGTTGCCAATTATTTGGGAAAAACCTATCTGATTCACTAATGCTCTTTAGAGAAGGAAATCTGCCATCCTTACCTGGTCTAACTCTTAGAGTCATAGAGCTACACAGCATGGAAGTAGACCCTTCGGCCCAACTCATCCATGCTGACCAGATATCCTAAATTTAATCTAGTTCCTTTTGGCCCATATCCCCCTAAACCTTTCCTATTCAAGTGCCCATCCAGATGCCTTTTAAATATTAACTGCCATCTGAACAATTGGGGATGGACAATAAGCAATTAGCTAGTGACACGCTCACCCAATGAATGAATGAAAATAAAAAAAAATTTGCTTGTGTATTGTTAGGATGTAGGCATTCCTGACTAGACTAGCACATATTGCCCACTCCTAATTGCCTTGAGAAGGCAAAATAAACAATGTGGGATTGGTACATTCAGTGAAGAAAAAAATCAGAGTTAACCTTTCGGGTCCCTTAAGGAAGGGTCACCGGACCCGAAATGTTAACTCTGATTTTGTTCTTCACAGATGCTGCTAGACCTGCTGATCTTTTCCAGCAACTTCTGTTTTTGCTCCTGATTTATGGCATCCACAGTTCTTATGGTTTTTATTTGGTACATTCTGTGTTGTTAAGATAGGAATTCCAGTATTCTAACCCAATGATGGCGAAAGAATTATTATAAAGTTTCAAGTCAGGGAAGTGTATGACTTGGGGATCTTGCAGGTGTGATATTTCCATGCATCTACTGCCCTTGTTCATCAAGTTTGTAGCAGTGACACAAACATTACCAATCAGGAGCAGGAAGAGACCACTCAGTGCTTTGAGCTGGCTCTACTATTTAATAAGACTATGGCTGATTTGATTGTGCCACATTCCCTCCTAGCCCCATTGTAAACCTTGCTTATCAATAACCTGTCTGCCTCTGCCCCAAGAATATTGAACATCTCTGCTTTGACTACCTTTTGAGGAAGACAATTCTAAAGACAACTTTCTATGAGAAACAAAATCTACTTAACTCTGTCTTAACAAGGTGACCTGTTATTTTGCAATAATTACCCTATTTCTAGAAAAGCTTGTGAGTTTAGAGGGTGCTGTTGGAGAAGCCTTGGTGGGTTACTGCAGTGAATCATATACAATTACAACAGTGTGTTTGATCAACATCAGTGATAGATGAAGCGAATGTCAAACCTGGTGGAGGATGCCAATCAAGCAAATCTCTTTGTCCTGGATGGTATTAATCTTTTTGAGTACTGATGGAGTTGCAATCATCCAGGCAAGCTACCTTCTTGAACCACTGCAGTCCATTTGCTGTAGGTACACGTAAAATGCTGTTAGGAAAGGGAGCTCCAGAAATTTGACCCAGAGAAAATAACACGATGGTGCTAAAGTTCCTAGTTAGGATAGTGAGTGGCTTGGAGAGGGATGTGCAGTTGGTGGTGTCCTCATTAATTTTTTTCCCATGGTCTTTCTAGATAGTACTTTTGAGTTTGGAAAGTGCTGTTTAACCAGGATTGGAGAATTTCTGCAGTGGATGTAGATAGTAGATATTACTCACTGCTGCTACTATGCTACTGAGTGAGTTTTTATGGATGCTGTGTCAATCAAGACGGCAGCTTTGTACTGGATGGTGTCAATCTTCTTGATTCTTGTTGGAATTGCAGTTATAGAGCAAATGAAGAGTATTCCAGCACACTCCTGACTTGTGCCTTGTAGATGATGGACAGACACTGGAGAGACAGGAGGTGAGTTAGTCATTACTATACTCCTAGACTCTGACCTGCTTTTGTAAGCACAGTATTTATTTGGGTAGTCCAGTTCAGTTTCTGGGTAATGGTAATCCCCAGGATGTTGCTAGTATGGATTCAGGATGGAAATGTCATTGAGTGTCATGGGATGATGGTTAGATTCTCTCTTATCTGGCACATGTATGATGCAAGTATTATTTTCCACTTTTCAACCCAAGCCTGGATATTGTCCAAAAGTTGGTGCATTTGAACATCCACTCCTTCAATATCTGAGGAGTTGTAAAGGGTGCTAAACATAATGTAATCATCAGTGAACATCACCTCTTCTGATTTTGTGATGGAAGATTAATCCTTGATGAAGCAACTGAAGATGATTGGACCTAGGACACTACCCTGAGGAACACTTGCAGAGATTTCCTGGAGCTATGATAACTGACCTCCAGCAACTACAATAATCTTTACATGTGTTGGTGTAATTCCAACCAATTGAGAGAGATTCCCTATTTTGATTTACCGTATTTTTGCTAGGGCTCCTTCATGTCACACCCAGTCAAATGCTGCCTTGATGTCAAGAACAGTCACCTCTGGAATTAAAATATTTTGTCCATTATTGAACCAAGACTATAGAGAGGTCTGGAGATATGTGGCCCTGACAGGACCCAAAGTGAGGATCAGTGAGTAGGAACAAAAACAAAACACTGGAGAAACTCAGCAGGTCTGACAGCATAAATGGAAAGAAAAACAGTGTTAACTAGTTCTGATGAAGGGTCACTAGGCTTGAAATGTTAACTGTACTTTTTGTCCCCACAGATGCCACCAAATCTGCTGAGTTTCTCCAACACTTTTTGTTTTGGTTTCAGATGTCCAGCATCCACAATATTTGGTTTCTATTCAATGAGCAGGTTATTGCTAAGTAAGTGTGGCTTGATAGGACTCTTGATAGCACTTTCCATCAGTTTATTGATGATCGAGAGTAGAATCAAAGAGATCTATAGCATATAAAAAGGTCCTTTGATCCATTGTGTCCATGCTGGTCAAATAAAACTAACTGTAGATGATGGGTCAGTAACTGGCCAGGATTGATTTGTCCTGCTTTTTGTGTACAGGATGTAATTCAGCAATTTTTAACATTCAGATAAAAGCAAAATACTACAGATGCTGGAAATCTAAACTTAGAACAATACAAACAAGAAACTCAGTAACTCTGGCAGCATTCGTGGAGAGAGGAACTGAGTTAATATATAAAGTCCAGGATGGCTCTTTTTTAGAACTTCCACATTAGGCCGATACCACGATACTTCATGAGTCAATGTGAGGACTCCAAGGGCAACTCCCCTTCTAACCATGCTCCACATTTGCTGGGTCTGTTGTGCCATGGGATAGCACATACTCAAGGATGGTGATGGTAGTGTCTGGGACATTATCTGCGAGGTATGATTCCATGATTATCTCCATGTCAAACTGTTGCCTGACTGTTCCTTGAGACAGGCCTCGAAATTTTTGCATTAGACCCCAGATGCTAGTGAAAAGTTTGCAGAGTCAACAGACTGAGTTTGCTGCTATTATTTCTGGTGCTCTAGGTTCATGTCAAGCGATCCATCCAGTTTCATTCCTTTGAGAAAGTTTAGCAATTTGATACAACTGAATGGCTAGCTAGACTATTTCAGAGGGCAGATATGAGCCGAACAACATTGCTGTGTCTCTGGATTCACATGTAAGCCAGATCAGCTAAAGATTGCAGATTTCCTTCCTTAAAAGACATAAGTGAACTAGATTTATTTCTATGAAAATTGACAATTGCTTCATGGTCATCATTAGACTTCTAATTCCAGATTTTAAAAAATTCAAACTCTCTAACTGCTATGATGTGATTTGAACCAGTTTCTGGAATACTAGTGCAGTAACAATACCATTATACCATCACCATGGTTGATAGATATTTTTAATCAACCTGTTCAGATGTGTTATGACAAACTCTGGAGTATGTGTAACTTTAACTCAAATCTGTCTGAGTAAACATTTGGTTTAACTAACAGAAATTCAGATTTGTTTTAGTGAGAGGGAGGTGCAATCTAGTTATGCTTGTGGGATAATGACAGAGGTTTCTCTGTTTGCAAATAATAGACTCTAAGGGCATAATTTTAACTACAGAATGCTATTCCCAATGCTAGAACATTGAAGTGGGCTCTATTTCTGCTCTCAGCAGGTCTGGCAACATCAGTTGAGAGAAAGCAGAAAAATGGGGAGAGTCCCCATTAGCAGCTATTCATTCTCCCAGACTGACCATTACCTATTCTGTTGTCCAGTTGCTGTTCTCTCTCCCACTCTGTCTCTCTAGGCTCCATCTCTACCTATCATTCACTCCTCGCACCACCCCTCTCCACCTCCAGCATTATGCCAACCTTTCCCAGCTATGAAAGATTCTGAGGAAGGATCACTGGGCTCAAAATATTAACTGTTCTCTCTCCACAGATGCCGCCAGTCCTGCTGAGTTTTTTGAGCAATTTCTGTTTTTTGTTTTTGATATCACAGCTCTTTGTGTTTTTAGTCCCCCACTTCTGATCGCTTACTTTTTGCTTGTTCTGACATGATTACAATTAAAATATAAAGTGCTGGCACAATGAATGGGAGACAGGTACGATCATGTAATAGGAAAAGATTTTCAGGAGTGGAAAAACTCCTGAACCTCACCATCAACTGATAATGTAGCAGCTGTAGGCAGGCTATTAAAGAACCTTCTGGACAGACAGCCACAACTTCCTGGTCCAACATCGCACATAGGTGGAAAGTGTATTTCAAATTTAAATTTCATTTGTAAATATTTAATTGGTTTTGTTTTATTAATCTTTATCATTGCTATTTGTTGCTACTAGTTTAGTCAGACAGCTAACATGTGTTGGCATGCCTGGTATGCATTGGTAGTTACAGGGGAGTTAAGGACATTTTGTTTATTGCAGATGAGAATGTGATGCGTACTTTTTGTTCACTCCTCGTTGAATGTTCATGTTAGTATCCAATGTTGTTCTGCGCACTCTTT